TACACGACACAGTATTCACAACACCTGCCATACATCTTATTATTTTTTTTTGAACAATAAAAATACCTGAAAATAAAGTTGAACAAACCATACCTCAACCTAGACTCGACTAAACCGTAATATATATTAAGTAGTTGTTCTTTAGTTAAAACAGATTTTACATTCCGAATTAAATATGTCACAGAAATTAACTTAATATTCAATTGTTCACAATGTAATTTCCAATTTAGACCTTCAATAGCAATTCCCAAAAAGTTAATAGCATTATTACTTACCAAATTGTGCTTTTCAATTTTTAAATTCAATGAATTACAAATTTGAATTGTGAAATCTTATATACTCTACATTACAGTGTTGTTTGTTAGAAACGTACCAGTTATTTAAGATAATACTCCCTATTGCATTTATATTCTACATCATTATCAGATTTAGCTGAAATAGTAACAGATTGATCATCGTCATACATAGAAAGAAACATTTCTGGTATTAAAGTATCAAATTCATTGGTGTATAAAATAAACAGTATCGGGCCCAGAACTGAACCTTGGGAACTCCTATTTCAACTGCTTTACTCTCTGAGTTAAAAAAAATTGTGTAAATCACCGTGTTCATCACAATGATGAGTCAAGCTTACATATTGTCTCCTATCTTTCAAAAACGAGGTGATCCAATCTAAAGGTACGCCCCTTATACCATATGCATATAATTTTGTCAATAATTTGTTATGATCCACACAATCGAATGCTCTCGTGAGGTCGCAAAAAATACCTACGGGACATTCCCCTTTTTCAATGTATTCAATTAATTTTTCATTAAATGTAAGTATAGCTGTATTTGTCGACCTACCAGGGCAAAAACCGTGTAGGATACATTGTTGTCAATAAGAAGATGAAGAAGAAACAGTGAGTGCAGGTCGAAGTGCAAGGTTATGTTCTGATTGTTGTGATAAATACATTAAATTGAAATAATGTTATACATAATACTTAGTACATAAAATTTTTGCTGTGTCATGAGGTAATATTGAAAACTGAAAAAATGTCGTCAATGAAAATTGAATTTGCAGTGCAAATGACATGCGATTCTTGTGTGGAAGCTGTAAAAAAAAGTTTGGAAAATGTTGAAGGAATTAAAAGTGTTGATATAGATTTAAAAAAAGGGTCGGTAGTAGTAGACAGTAATTTACCTATCACGGATGTGCAGAGGAAGTTGGAATCTACAGGAAGAAAAGTTGTTGTTAAAGGACAAGCCGGTAGTCTAGCTGCCGTTTGCATTTTAGAAGCTTCAGAAGAGAGTAACATACGGGGTGTCATACGCTTTATACAACCCGTTCCTGGTGTGTGTATTATTGATGGTACTATTGATGATCTCAAGCCTAAAACCTACCAAATATCCATACATGAATGTGGTGATTTATCCAGAGGTTGGTTAATCAGTTCTTTATTACTGCTACATTTGCTAAATTAATTTTCATATACTTTTTTAATTTAGTAAAACTGATATAAATAAACCATACACAGTGTGACCCATTAAGGACTGACTTAAGCTAGATAAGTCGGACACTTTCCTACACATTTCAAGGTTTGTAGGGAGTAAAAATACAGGGGCATATTATTTTTATTATATTTATTACTTTTACTACCTTGTCATATCGATTTAAATAATTACTTCTTCTTGAGACATGAGGCCTTAGATTTAATGATATCGACTTCTGACCCTGAGCGACTTAAGCTCTCTTAAAACTGGGCAATATTACCAACTAGATGAATCCTCTTGTCTTTATCTCTAATGGTACCTTTTTTAATTAATTATGACCATCTAGGATTTAGTTGGCAATCCATTGCCTGCTGTAACTTTTTAAGCAACTCTTGTTAGCGATTTTTGGGAAAATCTCTAGGGATATTTTTTTATTAAAAGAGTATCTGGTAGTCTTAATCTGCATTTTTTAATACCACAGTAAGCATCATTTCATCAACTTTGATAATTCTTTAGGCGATGTTTGCTGATCTTTAAATAGAAATGGAAACAATAAATTTAAATCTTTAAAGCATTTATAAAAAATTATTCTCCATTATAAATTAATAATTTTGAGATCTTAAATTTCATCATAGCCAGATTTCCAATTAAAAAATTCCTAAAATCCATTGAAGTGCTTCTAAAAAAAATGGATCTAGCTATGCCATTAATTATAAAAAAGTCATTAGTAATCTGTTTCATAAATATTTTTGAAGGATATCTTGGTTCTTAATAGGCCACACTGTATGTCTACGATTTGTCTCTCATGTAAAATGTGTTACTTATAGGATGTGAAAATGTAGGAAATATATATAATCCAAAAGCTACTCAAAATGCTCGCATATATGGAGATCTAGGTACTATAGTAGCACAAAAAAATGGTAGGGCTACTTTTAGATTGGAAGATAACGTTATTAAAATATCTGAGATAATAGGAAGGTCCTTTGTCCTAACAGATAAAACTGAGGATAGTGGAATTCAAAAAAAATTAGCAGCTGGTATTATCGCTAGATCAGCAGGTCTTTTTCAAAACCCTAAAACTATATGTGCTTGTGACGGTGTTACTATTTGGGATGAAACATCAAAACCTAAATCTACATTATAATTATTCTTGGGAATACTGGGTAGAATTAGTTATTTAAGTATAAAACATGGATGTATATATTGTATTGTGAAAAAATACAACCTTATTTATTATTTATGTCTTCATTATTTTGCTATAACACATTTTATATGTGTAACCCATCTATAAAGCATTTTGTGTGCTTTTTTCTAGGGGGGGATCTTAAGAAAGTTTTTAATTTTTGATATTTTTTACAATAAGATTTTTGATATACATATTTTTGATATGTAATAATTAAACCTTTATTGTACGGATAACTAACATTTGTATTACTGCAAAGAATTGTGTTTGACTTTAATATTTTGTGGTCATTGGTTATTATGGTATTTAAGATGCATTAGTTGATTGTTTGTCGAAGTTATTAATAACGTGACATACATTTCTTCGGCATTAGTCAGAAATTTTAATGATAATAACAGGTGTACAAGCTAAATTTTAAATAAGTAGGTGACCTTTGTAAGCCATTGTCCAGGTATTTTTCTTAGAAAAATGTATTAAATTTTAAATAGGTATGTTGATCTGGAAAAAAAAGCAATATTTAGTCGTGAAAATTAGCTTTAAGTAGATTGTTTGTATTTAATATTCATACATATTTATAAGAAACTTTTCAATTTGCACAATGTTTCACCTGCTTTGTTGCTGGAGGTCATTATACTAAGTACATAAAAAAATGATTATTTCAACTTACTATTCAAAATTTTTGTATAAAGTCTCAGCTCACTACCAGCATAACATCTAAAGTAACAGTACTAACTATCGTATATAAAAGGTAAACACTTACAAATATGTTTATTCCTTTTTGAAGAAAGTTAGTTGATAGAAATAATGTTTGTACATCTACTTATATATCTCATACTTTTAAAAAACTGTGTGTTTGTGAACACGCTTCTACTTGAAGCCTTACACGATTATATGACAGAACCAGAACTGGCATATTATTTTCAAACAGCAGATAGATCGATTATACCAGATTATGAGGTCATATACTTACCACTTGTACTTCCAGTAAAAGAAGCTAGTAGCGTGTTTGGAGATGAGGATGAAGAAATTGAATATAATTTCTCTGCTTTCCAGAGGTAGGTGTAATAACTTCATCTATGAATTTAATTAGTGTGTTATTTACTAGTGGTAATTTATTATTTATAGACCCATTGAGTTGAAATTAAGAAGGAATCCAAGTATTACCGCCTCAAATTTCAAGACATATATACACAACCATGATAAAATTGAAAGTCTGCCCGATAGTCCAAAAAACTGTCATTATCTGCACAAAGATAGAAGCACAGTGGCATCAATTAGCATTTGTTCTCCTAGAACAGTTGTAAGTTATTTTTATTTGAGATTTAATTTATGAAAAACATACTGGGTGGGGTATGAGCGAAAAACGGTCAAGTGGAAAAGATTTTAGACCATTCAGTTACTATCTTCATGGCGTTTTCAACCCAGCTTAGTTTTTGATATTTTTCGAGAAAAAAAATCAAACATCTCATTTTTCAAAATTTGTTACTTTTTTATTTTTAAGAATTTTTTAAATTTGTAAAAACAATTGCTATAGCAACCTTTTATAAGAAATTTTTGCCATTCACTCCGATTTTGATTTCAACATTTATGCCCCTAGAAGTCATAAACTTGTTTTTATGAGCACCATATTCAATTTTATGATTAACGAAAAAATAATTTTTCTTCATACCTCGGTCGAAAGTACGTACTTTCGTCCCTAATAGCAGGGACGAAAGTTTAACATTTACTCCCTGTGAGAAGTACACGCGCGCCCTCTGTAACGGTGGGAGGAAAGAATTTCTCATGCATATTTATACTCGTAACTAGGGACTATTTATTATGTCGCTATAACAAATTGTTAACCGCTGTCATTACTGTTGCTACCTCTAAAGTTTAAAAAAGTAAAATTAATAACGGTCTTTTTGACCGGCTATGAAGAAAAATCGTATACACTACACGGGCCGAAAGTTGAAATCTCGGTCCTGCTCGCATCATGACGCGCAGGGCCGAAAATTCAACTTTCGGCCCTTGTGGTGTAATATACTGTTCTAACTTTCCAGGGATGTATTATAAGTGTATTTTGTTGAAAAACACAATAAACATTTATTATTGCTTATAAAATACTTTTTATAAAAAAATATCAAATTCGCATTAACTAATAAAATAATACTTAATTTTCAAAGCTTAAAGAGATTGCAATAAGCCAGAAACTGTGCCAATTATAAATGTCTTTTTCTCAAAACAGTAGGTAATGTTGAAGGTGATGAAATTTATTCAAAATAATGTTAAATGTTGTCAGCACCAGGATTTACATTATTATTGCTATAATTTTTAGCCTGCCGTTTCTCTAAATTGAAAAATAAGTATTATTTTATTTGTTAATACATATAATAAAAATTGTTTTCATCAAATTTTATGCAGACTAGACTATAATAATACCACTCGATATAGTTTTTTAAAAAATTAATCAAAGGAGAATAATCAAGAAGCATGTATTTTATTGACCTAAATAATATTTGTATATATGTCGTTTATGTATTAAATATAGTCTTACATTTTAGCAAGGATTAGTCTTTCTTGAAAATTCTACTTTAGAAATACATCCTTTGACAGAAAGGCTACAAACGTTGCTTAAGCTCCGTGAACCACTTGTCGAAACCCTATTAGATGAAGAAGTTAAGATGCCACATATTGTCAAAAGAGCAAATTTCCTGACAGATTTTCTGAACTATGACATTCTACCGATTGCTGGAAATGTTTGGACAGAAAATGAAGAGGTGAACCCTAGCGTTTATGATAACAATTTTAACAAAGTAAATCGTTATGATTGGAGTTATCCAGAGGCTGCAAGTTATAGGCCAGCTGGAGGTCTGACACTGGAACTGGCATTATTCTTTGATGAAGCTGCTTACAAAATCTTTGCCCCACATTTTAACAATGATGACAAGAAATTACAAGACATGTTATTGGCTTATATGAATGGGGTAAGTAGGAATGTTCATATTCCGTGATTTATCTCAAAATTTATATAAAAAAACTTCAAAACATCAAGAACCATATTGGAAAATCATAAGATATTTTTAGGTACAAGCATTGTACCACCATCCAAGTTTAGGAACAATTCTTGAGTTGGTTTTGGTAAGACTAGACATAATGAAACAACAGCCCTCTGCTATGCCCCATTACAATGGAGAACGTGGAAAATTACTTGATAGCTTTTGTGCTTACCAAAAAGGTATCAACCCTTCTGGCGATTCTAATCCTGATCATTGGGATATGGCATTGTATGTATCTGGGTAAGTAAAGTTTTAAATTACTATTAAGCAAAAAAAAATGTTAAAATGACTGTAGTACGTATTAAAATAATAATTTTCATATTCAGATTAGACTTCTTTGCATATGAAAAAGGTCGTAAGAGTGGTGTTACCATGGGTTTGGCAACTGTTGGAGGTGTCTGTTTGGATCAGTATGCCTGTGTTATAGCCGAGTTTGGAACTACAAATATTTTCGGAAAGCCTTATCCTAGCGCAGGATTCACTAGCGTATACATTTCGGCTCATGAAATTGGTCACAAGTGAGTACAGATCAGTTAAATACAATTTTTGTTAGACATATACTCTGATTTTTTTTTAATATGTTTCCTGAAAAGTTACATACATGGTGATTTCGATGCAAATTCCAAACTGAAGGAATAGCTTTATAATTTTTCATCTAAGGAGGTTTGGGAGGGTGTTAAAGTTTTGACAAAAGTGAATATCAGTTGTGGCTTAGAAACTTTAACTTATAAACTTAAATGAAAGTTGATTCAAGTTATAATAATTACTGAAGAGGGAGCTGTTATGAGTAAAATATCGGTTCAGTGCCACAAAATTGTCTGACTAGATTAGACTATTATTCTGGGGATATGCATTGTGTATAAGCCATTTCTTTTTTTTTATGAAGATAAAGATTTTCTGGATTTTGATTCACCGGTCATTGAAAGAGATTTATGTGCAGTAGAACCCCGATTATCCGTGTGCGGATTATCCATGCTATGTCTAGGAATTTGTGGTGTCACGTTATTTTGTGTTTTTATTCAGTAAAGACCGTATAATATCATGTGTGGTGTTAACGCTTCTAGTCTGGAGAAGTTGGAAATATTCTATTAGCTTATTTTGAGGAAGTCGACATTTTAAACTTACGTAAAATACGTCAGAAAAGAAAAACAGAAAAAGATAAAATATGGACCAAAATGATTGCCTGTTTAAAAAGTTATACTTAAAAAATAAATGTACCTAAATTGCATTTTCAATGATTTTGTGTTTCCTTGTTTGCTCTGTTTCTTACGTAAAAAATAAATGTTTTGATTATGCGTGTTTTTCAATTATCCATGCTGCGCTCGGTCCCATGGATCATGGATAAACGGGGTTCTACTGTATAACATTGATTCGGTTGGTACAACTAATAAATAATTAACAAAGAACCCATCGAATTATTTTGTCTGTGAATTTCTGAAGGATAAGATTTATATTACCGGTACAAATTAGAGATGGGCAATACGGATCTTTTTAATGATCCGCATGATGCGAAATGTATCNATGCGCGCGGCCCTCGACAGAGTGGGGCAGCGGACGGTTTCGGCTCGACTCGCGGTTAATTGCTCTCACCCAATTAAACTAATTAAATAAATAACTGGCCAGCGGCCTTACAAAAATCGGAAAATAATAATGCTTCATTACAATCTAAGGAGGTTTGGGAGGGTGTTAAAGTTTTGACAAAAGTGAATATCAGTTGTGGCTTAGGAACTTATAAACTTAAATGAAAGTTGATTCAAGTTATAATTACTGAAGAGGGGGCTATTATGAGTAAAATATTGGTTTAGTGCCACAAAATTGTCTAGATTAGACTATTATTCTGGGGATATGTATAAGCCATTTCTTTTTTTTTATGAAGATAAAGATTTTCTGGATTTTGATTCACCGGTCATTGAAAGAGATTTATGTGCAGTAGAACCTCGATTTTGTGTTTTTATTCAGTAAAGACCGTATAATATCATGTGTGGTGTTAACGCTTCTAGTCTGGAGAAGTTGGAAATATTCTATTAGCCTTTTTTTTGAGTAAGTCGGCATTATAAACTTACGTAAAATAAGTCAGTTAAGAAAAACAGAAAAAGTTAAAAATGGACCAAAATGATTGCCTGTTTAAAAAATTATACTTAAGGTACTTAAAAAATAAATTGCATTTTCAATGATTTTGTGTTTCCTTGTTTGCTCTGTTTCTTACGTAAAAAATAAATGTTTTGATTATGCGTGTTTTTCAATTATCCATGCTGCGCTCGGTCCCATGGATCATGGATAAACGGGGTTCTACTGTATAACATTGATTCGGTTGGTACAACTAATAAATAATTAACAAAGAACCCATCGAATTATTTTGTCTGTGAATTTCTGAAGGATAAGATTTATATTACCGGTACAAATTAGAGATGGGCAATACGGATCTTTTTAATGATCCGCATGATGCGAAATGTATCGACATAAAGATCCGCATCAAAAGATCCGCATCAGGGAATCGTATTCACTGTGGATGTACAAGTACAGTTTGTACTTGTACATTTTGTAAATGTGTGGGCTTGTCGCTCACTCATTCCCGTTAAATTTTTTGCAATCATCTATAAATTCATTTTTTAGCAGAACGATGAACTTAAGTAGAAACGAAGCAATAATATATTTGAACTCAAGTTGAGCATCAAATTATTTTCAAATTAATTGATATTTAAATTTATTTTCGGTCAAGCGATTCAACATTTAAATACGAAATACACATCACTCTGACAATTACTTTTTACATTATAAGTTTGTTTCAGACTACACAATTTCATATAATGTATTTCAATATTTAGTTTCCTATGCACTAAAGTGTTTCTAATGCATCGTATCTCATCGACCTGTATCGGACACGAGAATCAGTTGAGATCGATTCATTCCCAATTCGCATTGATGCGGTGATGCGAACATACGAAATTATTCTTATACCGGTATACGTATGAACTGACTCCCAGTATGCGTGCGCCTCCCACTTNGGCAGCGAACTCCTTGGGTCGGGTGGCGGTCTCTGGTCGGTGTTCAGGTCCTCGGGGTGGTCCTCAGGTTGGCGTTGGAGTTCTTCGAGTTCTGGCAGCGAACTGAGGATCTTCGTGCAGGAACGGTGGTTTTATTGTCCCAATCCCCCCTTGACTAGGCAGGAGTCGTGGTGGGACTATGCGCGCGGCCCTCGACAGAGTGGGGCAGCGGACGGTTTCGGCTCGACTCGCGGTTAATTGCTCTCACCCAATTAAACTAATTAAATAAATAACTGGCCAGCGGCCTTACAAAAATCGGAAAATAATAATGCTTCATTACAATCTAAGGAGGTTTGGGAGGGTGTTAAAGTTTTGACAAAAGTGAATATCAGTTGTGGCTTAGGAACTTATAAACTTAAATGAAAGTTGATTCAAGTTATAATTACTGAAGAGGGGGCTATTATGAGTAAAATATTGGTTTAGTGCCACAAAATTGTCTAGATTAGACTATTATTCTGGGGATATGTATAAGCCATTTCTTTTTTTTTATGAAGATAAAGATTTTCTGGATTTTGATTCACCGGTCATTGAAAGAGATTTATGTGCAGTAGAACCTCGATTTTGTGTTTTTATTCAGTAAAGACCGTATAATATCATGTGTGGTGTTAACGCTTCTAGTCTGGAGAAGTTGGAAATATTCTATTAGCCTTTTTTTTGAGTAAGTCGGCATTATAAACTTACGTAAAATAAGTCAGTTAAGAAAAACAGAAAAAGTTAAAAATGGACCAAAATGATTGCCTGTTTAAAAAATTATACTTAAGGTACTTAAAAAATAAATTGCATTTTCAATGATTTTGTGTTTCCCTGTTTGCTCTGTTTCTTACGTAAAAAATAAATGTTTTGATTATGCGTGTTTTTCAATTATCCATGCTGCGCTCGGTCCCAATAGATCATGGATAATCGGGGTTCTACTGTATAACATTGAATCGGTTGGTACAACTAATAAATAATTAACAAAGAACCCATCAAGAAAGAAAGAAAGAAAGAAATAAAGAAAGAACCCAAATTATATTGTCTGTGAATTTCTGAAGGATAAGATTTATATTACCAGTACAAATCCAATTAAGAAATCAAGGAAATTATTAATCTACGTTATTGAATTCATTTCTATATTAGAATATTTTATTTATACATGCAGTCCTAAAATGTACCACATTGGATCGGTTCATTACCACTAATAATTAAAAAAAAATATTTTGTGCACCATCTCTTTCATCTGACAAATCCATTGAATTATTTTGCCCGGAATTTTTAAAGAATAAGAGTTATATTATGAGATGAGTATAATTTCAGTTAAGACATCAACAAAAATTATTAATGTAATTGAATTCATTGCTCTTTGTATTAGAAAAATAAAAAAGTAATTGATTTTCTCCTTCGAGATGATAAGGTGTCATAAAATATTTCAATTGTTATACATGAATCTACCAGATAGTGCACTACCTAAAATAGAAAATTGAAATACTTCCAAATAGTGTATAGATTTTAGACTCTTTAATCCGAACTCAAGTTAATCTGAATATCCACTGATAAGGCCCGACAAATCCCCATTTCGATGGTCCAAACAAAACTCTTTAATTCGAACAAAATTTAGTTTAACTTATATAGTTCCGATTATAGAGTCAGACTACATAATAAAAAGTAACCACTAAAAATGTAATTCCCGGCAGTCTCGGGGAAACCCTTTTATACGAGTCGGAACCTTTTTTGATTAGATTCTTTTTTATTTTTAATAAATGCATATCCATATTTTATGATAATGTTTGGTTTTATTGTTATTTTTTGCCTTCTCAGTAACATATAAAATCTAATTCATATTATATGTGTTAGAATTTGCAACCAGTGAATTTATAGTTTATTTAATTTATGCTTATACAAGAGCTCGACTCTCGGTCAGGCGTAACCAAAACATGTAGAGTTTGCTAACGCCGGGAGTCGGACTAGGATATAGATTTAAGATCTTGACTGAGTAAGATGTATCTAAAGTGGAAATATATATTTTTGTGAATTGATTTTAAAAGTGTATATTATTCTGCCATTTTTATATCTTTTTCTAACAGTATGTACATACTATTTTCTATCACAAGTGCGATTTGTTATGGGACCTATAGCATAGGGGGTTATGCTCCAGCGTTGCGCTATGAAAATAACATCACGCCGTTGTACTATCTGGCACTTTCCGTGCACATAACCCCCTACGCTATAGGTCCCATAGCGAGCGCGTGTGATAGAAACATATTTACATATGTACATATTTACTATCCAGTAATCCGAAAATATCGGTAATTCAAACTTATCTCTTTAAGCCTGTGACTTAATTAGTTCGGATTAATGAGTCTATACTGTATTCCTAAAAAATTTAAATAGATATTTTTGACAGATTTTTAACAGTAGTTTTTATATAAAAAAACAGTCTCCACACTCCCACTACACAAGACTAATTAAAGTGATGGAACTAAAATCCTACCAATTAAAATATCTCTTCATTTATAAGTTGTACGAAATTTCTTTCAAGTTCCTTCCAACAACAGTACCTACACTTATTTTTTTAATAAAGAATTTATTCCGGTAATTTCAGTATTTAAAGTTGAATTGCCCCAATACAAGTATTTATCTAACTAGCAGTAGCATTATAATTAGTTTTCAGTTTAGGAATGCATCACGATAACAGTGGCAATAGTTGTCCGAAAGAAGGATATATTATGTCTCCATCTCGAGGTACCAACGGTGAGACACAATGGTCAACATGTAGTGCTGATGTTATGGCAAAATTGAGGTAAAATAATCTAAGCTTTGAAATCTAATTATATTTTTTACAAAACTTGATGAACTCCTTAACGATTTAATAATAGTACCTTTCACTTTTCAGTTGGGCCAAATGTCTACAAGATTCTGGAAAGTCACCAAAAAATCTTGATCACAGCCATTTTCTTGACACTCCTGGTCAAATTTTTACTGCAAAAAGACAATGTGAGCTCCTATTAAGAGACAAAGATGCCACGATGCTACCCCATCAAGAACTGTCTACTATTTGTTATAATTTACAGTGCAAAACGCCCCACAGGAGTGGATATTACTTTGCAGGCCCTGCTTTAGACGGAACGCAATGTGGAAAGGGAAAGGTAAAAATTTGTACTTTGGCTATAATACATATTTATGGGGATACTTTTAGTATTGTTATGGAGGTAACTGTGTGGATAAACAACCTCCAAAACCAGTAAAAAATGTCCCGGGGGGATGGGGGCCCTGGAAGGAGGGTAATTGCAATTCTGGCTGTATAGAAAAATCTATGGGTCATGCAATGAAACGTAGATATTGCAATAATCCCACTCCTATTAATACGGATGAAGGGTGTGAGGGCGCTAGTGTAGAGTTTGAATTGTGCAGCGACAATAAGGTTGGTGATATCAGTAGCAAAGTCTACTTTGTTTATAGAAATATTAATTTCAGATCTGTAAATATAAAAAAGAAAGCGTAGTTGATTATGCATCAGAGAGATGTAAAGAATTTGCAAAACTCTTGCCAGAACTGGATCGGACAGGTGCAGGATTACAAGCTCCTCATGAAGAAGGTAAAATGACTGAACTGTGATAAAAAATTGATGTTTTTTATACAGACAGTAAATGTAATTACAAAAATTATCACGTGCTCATCTGAATTCAACAAAGTTAATTTTTGTAGTTAGAAAGTAAAATATTTTTAGGGCGGGTTTGGATGGGATGTGCAATATTCTGTAAACGTGCCGATTCTGGTAGTTATTACACCCCCAGAATAGAACTAAATGATTTGGGTGTTTCCCCATATTTTCCTGATGGAACATGGTGTCACAGAGAAAAGAACCTTAATTTCTATTGCATACAGCATCATTGTTTACCAGAGGTAATTCAGGTTTTGCTTTAGAGCATATACTACATGGAGTATGCACCGTATGTTGAAAAATGTAGATGCTGTAGAAAGGACGATAGTTTGGTAACTCTCTCTCTCCAATCGCTGAGGAAGAGTGGGGAGATCCCGAGCATTAGCTAATCACAAGCCTGCATGAGAGAAAGGAGAAAGATAGTTCCCAAACTCTATCTCTTGGGGCATGTATCCCATAGAGTAGTTAGTTGTATCCTGTACTATCAGGTTTGTTTCTGCAGCAGTTGAGGATTGATTTGAAACTATCAGAGGTATTTGCCCAATCGATTTGTGAATATATACACTTATACACAATAATTATGTAACAACTTAATTGGTCGAGTGTATCTGATAGTTTGCAAACAGTTTGAGACTCCTGCAGAAACAAACCTATCATCAGATACAAATAGGCTCGCTCTGTTGGCAAGAGAGTCATAGTATCTGCAAAGTTGCAGGTCGCTCTCTGCCAGTGCAGCCATATTGAATGTCTAGGATTGAGTAGCAGTGACCATTCATAGACGTAGCACTTTGTTGTCTCACGTATATTCATACCACATTTGTAGTTAAGATATCAAAAATAGCTGGATAATTTGCCGGTTGACTCGCCCATAGAATAATGATGAAGACTAATAAATCTGGGTGGGTTTGACTGAAGAATGATCCTAGCAATTTACTTCATATTGCTGGTATAATTCAATGCTGGTCTGGTCCTGTAGTTCGCAGAGTAGTTGTAGAAATGATTTGCAAAACTTGTAACTGTGTTTTTACATGAAAATACTTATTTGATGTATTAATTTTTAGAACTTTAAATTTACCAAGTCGGAGGTAGGAGGAGATGATATTCCATTTTCTCAGAATGCTCACCCGTTGCAAGAAATACCTCAGGAAATAAAGGATTACTTCTCTTTGGGTCCAAATGGTAAACCTATCAGAACCACTCTGCACTCTGCGAAGCAACCGAAAGAAGAGGACTGGGAAACTAATGACTATATAGAAATTCCAGAATTAAAAGACAGGTATAAGATGTTACCCTATGACCGTGAAAATTTTATTTAGTTTATTATTCCTGCATCTAATTGTCCTACTAAAAATTTAGAATAAACATTGCATATATTTTTGATTTTTTTATTGTTTAAACACTCTTCTTTATAGCTCCATGAATAATTCAAAGGTGTGGTAAGAATTTTTTGTATTGGAGTTAAAATTGTATTGATTGAGGAACGATAAATTTCACTTGATTTTTTAGGGAAAGCGGTCACTAATGTTAGCTTAAACTCAGGAGAAATAAAGTGTACATGAAGTGCAGCACCTATGTTACAGAATTTGTAATTTATGGAATTTGCAGAAATAAAAGAGATAGTTTCCATAATAATGATAATACAGTGAAAATCGGTTATAATGACTTTCAAGGGACCGTTTGTTTTGGTTGTTATAACCGATGGACGTACTAAGAAACTACATATATTTTATTTAAAATTTTTATTGAAAAAATGAGAAAGTGAAGTACATATGTATTGTTTTGTGTTCAGATCTCGTGCGTTTCATTTTCAGTGAATTGTTTTCAAATAGAGACTATTTTATTTTTTTTCTGCCAAATTCTTTATTACATTAGTTCTCCGTCTTCTAGTCTCCATATTTGATGTGATTTTTCTCTTCGACATCGTGATAGAAAGTGGTAATTAATATATATAATATAACTGTACGCGTAGATAAGTTGTAATTTGTTACAAACTACTAACTGGTGTCAAAAGCGTGAATGCCGGCAGGATGGGCTGAAGATCACCATTGGTCGTTATAACATAGATACTATGGTAAATGTATATAAAAACGCTTCGCTAAATACGAGATATCGGTGTAAACAGTGTCGTAGTAAACGATATTTTTAATATATTTCTATAGGATTTAATCGGGACTTCCATATTCTGTCGTTATATCTAATAAAGCAATGCCGTTATAACCAACTTTCACTGTATTAATTTTTTTCTTGAGAAAATCGTCCTATTTTTATGCACAAAAATATCTCATGACACTAAAATAACTTTACATTTCATGGAATCAAAGTACCTATCTATTGTTTTACATTTAATTTCAATTGTCACTTTAATACTCTGAAGAATAAATCTGCATTTATACAAAAATAAAACAAGTTCTAATAGAACACGTATTTGGTGAAGCACTCCATGCATTGAATTATCTCACTCGTGTTGCTCCTACACCTTATAGTATGCGTTTTTCATTTTTATTAGAGGGATTAAAAAGTAAATTTAAGCCTAATGACAAAAAGTGACATTTAAATTCTGAAATTAGTCTAAAATAGTAGTGAGTTAAATAAATAAAGCGCAAAAAACTGTATTTCACGTGCATAAGTTATATTTCTCTATTGTACATAGAAATTGGATGGACTTAAAACTCAAGTATGGTATTAGATGCCTGATGCACCGCTAGATGAAATAAATTGAGCTACCAGGGCCTGTCATGCTTTTCTCGACTGGAAATTTACTTGTCATTCGACACCTAAGCCTGGCTATTATTATTAGAATTCATTTTGTTTGTTAACTCGAATACTGAAAAATAATTTGCAAATAACATTGTGAAATTTGCGAAACAGAGTAATAATTTATACAAATAACTTTCTCAAAAAAATTCGATTCCATAGTTTAACAGAAATTATTACCTTTCCCTGCAAACCCCCTAAATTACAGTCCTGTAATAAGGCATAGTAAACCTCATGCATTCATTGTTTCTCACTTCAAGCACCCAAGGGCTTTCGTTTACTAATCATTCAAGTTGTGTTACATGGAAAATTTTCCCTGGGTACCTGTATTAAAGATATCCACAAAACTTATTTACTTTGTCGTTTTAGACTGTTATTGCTTGAAAAATTTCATGTTGTAAATGTTGTACAAAAATTATCACCTTTACATACAACAACTTGTCTTATTTTTTTACATTAACATTTCATATCGAAGTTAATATACTACAAAAAATCGGCACCAATTACAGTCGTTTTTCTCATGAACGGATTATGTAATCCTTTTAATTAACAGGTTGTTTTTTTGTCAATATTGACCTCAGACTGAGATATTTGTTTTAAAGGATGATTTTTTCTAAGTCCACTTGGAGAACTTTCGATAGTGAAAAATTTCAAATAAAATTTGTCAAAAATTAAACAAGCGGTGGTCAACCCTGAGATTTAGAAAAGGGGTTGGATATATGGTTGCTAAATAGTACATTATACTATAAGGGAGAGAAATGCGTTATTTTGACAGAGGTGCAATTTGAAGCCCGAGGGCTACAATGCATCGAGGACAAAATAGCATCTCTCCCGAATGGTATATACTATTTTTTCCACGGTCTCATTAACTTAAAAACACATATTTTGTCATTATGAAGTAAGTAGCACCAGAATTATTGTATTCGGATTTGAGCATTTATTTAGTAGTCGTTGAGTTATTGTCATAACTACAAAATAAACAAACAAAAAGAATTGTCAAATTAAGGTGCTAGTTTGGTTTAGTTTAAAGTTTGTTTAGTGCACAATGAATAATTGTGAGTCGGAAGAGATTGTGGAGGCTGCAAATATTGCAATAAGCAATTTGCTGCCTACGAAGTCAAGATCTTTATACGATATAGCCTACAATCGGTTCAAAAAGTGGTGCGCCGAGAAAAATGTTCAAGTATACAGCGAGAATGTTTTGTTGGCATACTTCAGTGAAAATGCAAAGAATTACAAGTCTTCCACATTATGGGCGCAATATTCTATGGTTAAGTCATGCTTGATAATTTACGACAACATAGATATAAGCAAATTCCCCAAGCTGATCGCATTTTTGAAAAGAACCGGTGACGGATATCAAGCGAAAAAATCGAAAATATTGACAAAGGGTGAAATCGACCGTTTTCTATCAAGTGCAGATGACAAAGAATTCTTAATGATTAAGGTAAGATTACTTTTGTTGTTAGGTATTTCAATTATTAAGTATTTTGATTTTTTATAGGTTGGATTAATTCTGGGGATTGCCGGAGCTTGTCGAACTGATGAACTAGTCAATTTAACTGTAGATGATATTGAGGATGTAGGCTCTTCCTTGATTGTAAAAATTCCAAACACTAAGACAAAGATTCCACGAACCTTTGTGGTTACCGATGTGGGAAATATGCTTGAATTGTTTCGAAAATACCTGTCCCTTCGTCCTCCCCACGTCAAGCATAAGCGCCTTTTTTTGTACTACAAAGCAGGAAAATGTAGTTCGCAGCCAGTTGGCAAGAATACCATGGGAAAAATTCCGAGTGTAGTAGCTTCGTATTTAAAATTACCTGATGCTGCATGTTATACTGGTCACTGCTTACGAAGATCTTCAGCGACATTACTGGCAGATGCTGGTGTGGATATCACGACAATAAAGCGTCATGCTGGTTGGAAATCAACGACAGTCGCTGAGGGTTATGTCGAGAACTCCATTGAAAATAAGACCAAAATTGCTAATCAGGTTTTAGTAGGTACCACTACTAGCGCAATCACAAAAACTGTAAATGTAAGCGAAAGTAATATTCCTTCTAATATTAATTTTGAAAATTGTACAAATGTAACATTTAATTTAAATGTCAATAAATAATTTCAATGTTATCTTTTTTTTTGCATGAAAAACGTTCTCCATAATGTAAACTCCCTTGGGAGCATTATACTCCCTTGGGAATAATCGACTACTTCTGTTTTAATTTTGATGTCATAGGAACTGATTTCTACTCCCGACCGTGGAAAAATATATTTTTTTCATAGTAAACTGAACGATACAAGTGATTTATTAATATTTTGCAAAATAAATTTTACTTCAGTCATATATATTTCAATTTTAATTTGACATTAATAATCTATTTTTCAAATTTATAATACTGTAACTTTAAAGAAAAATTAAAATCATTTTTGATAAATAACACCATGAGTTGATTATGGAAAAAACAAAACATATTTTGTAAATATATGTTGCAATACTTTTTGAGATCTTAGGGCCGTAGCCATTAGCTGTAATTATTTTAAATTATTATTTTCCAAATTCTCTTCGAAACTTTTTTATCACGAAAGTTCTCCATGTGGGCCCAGAAATAATCCCTTTAAAAGCGATGACTTGTGTTACGAGAGGTGTTGACTGATTCTCGTTACTATTTTTTATGTTATTAATTATTAATGTTGTTCTGTTTTTACATTTCGTCGGACTTCTGACGTAGTGACGTAACTAAGAAAAATTGAATTCCATGTAATAACAATTCCAAGTCTGACCTATCTCAAATTATTTTGAAGCCCGATCTCACATACTGACCTAACTCAAGTTACGTCGCTACGTGTGATTTGGAAATCTCTTTCTTTTGTAATTTTAGCGACGTAACTCGTCAATACCTGCGGTACTAGGTTTGTTTTTACTAATCGTACACGACAGTTTCAGATTTGAGTTCGCAACAAGATTGGCCAAAATAACTAAAAACCATCAGACTAACCAATCACTTTGTGAATTGAAATCCAAAACAGTCACGGAGTGTTAGTAGGAACAAACCTATTAATGCACAATTTGGCTATCTCGCTAAAAACAACATCAGGCATATTGGGCTAACTTTTCAGGAATTCAAACCGTTAAGTTGTATTTGGGCTTAACACCCGTTGCAAACATACCGGAACCGGCTAACCGGATCTGGTTACCCGGCAGCAAGGTGTACAGAGCCTTATGGCAGCTTTCACACGTGACGGAAGGAGCCATCCTGCAAACGGTCGCCGGGTTGTAGCCAGTTGCCACCAATGCCAGCCCGGCTGCCGTGTACTGGCTAACCGGCGACTGAAGTTATTGTAGTGCATAGTTTTGTATTTCCGATTTTACACTTAATGGGTGCTTGCAGGTTCAGTCATTCGATTTCATTGAAAAGAACAGTATGTGTCAATTATTTTTTTAAATATTTATACGCAACTATGTCGAATGTTTGTTTGCTAGAAGTAGAAACTGAATTCTTTATACCACTGGTTGAAACCAGACCTGTCCAGTGGGACTAAACTTTAGTCTTTTCATATTTTTTGGATACATGCAATAAAACCTTACGTTTTTTTTATTGCGACGACGTCGGCAGTAGCCGTCACATAGTTTCAATGTGTCTACGATCCATCTTTTGTCGTGATAAAAATGTAACTCAGACTAATATCGGCTAAACCGTCTTGAAAATTAAATTACGTATGAAAGAGCTAGCCGGTCTGGCAAGTGTGAAATAATGCTAAGTGTAATAACGTGTATGTTGTAATGAGTAGTAGAGTGCCTTGATACCTTCGGAGTTTGAATATTAATTCAATATTTCTGTTTTATAAAATTAAAAATAATTTCTATCATGCACGCTCGCTATGGGACCTATAACGTAGGGGGTTATGTGCACGGAAAGTGCCAGATAGTACAACGGCGTGAAGTTTTTTTGAAAAAAACGCCGTTGTACTATCTGGCACTTTCCGTGCACATAACCCCCTACGTTATAGGTCCCATAACGACTCGTACTTGTGATAGAAAATAGTATGTGCAACTCGTTCCGAAGAGTTGCCATAGCGCCAGCGTGGCGCTATTGGCAACTTTTCCTCACTCGTTATACAATGTACTATATCTTAATACTTTTTTACAAATAAATAATATTCATACGAAACATTGTTTTATTTTATTTTATGTCCACAGGTGTATCTAAGGGTTTAGTGGGCTCTATATTTTTACGTAACGTGTCATTAAAAAAATTTTGTTTGGCTTTTACGAATATTCAAACAAACTTTCTCTGTATCAGAACAACTAACCAGAATACTCTCTTCCATGAAAAAAAAAATAGGCTTTTTTATTAACGAACCTCTAAGATAGAAACAAATTAAAATTATAAAAATCTTTTAATTATCTCTCCTGTAAAATTGATAAAAATGAGATACGTTAGTACGTCAGAAGATCGACGATTTTATACAGGGTTGGAAAGTACCGATGGTCCATCTGCCGTTACGTGAGAGCGATAAAGTAAGTCATAGAAATCCGTGCGATAGAGAAAGATCGCTATAATGAAGGCGTCTAATAGTTACCGCCCATTTCGCCCTTCCACAAATAAGAAGTGGATCTTATTTGTGGAAGGGCGAAATGGGCGGTGACTATGAAACGCCTTCATTATAGCGATCTGTCTCTATCGCACGGATTTCTATGACTTACTTTATCGCTCTCACGTAACGGCAGATCGACCATCGGTACTTTCCGAACCTGTATAATTAACTGGTGTGCTTTAATTTAACTATGTATCTTAATTAATAACAGAGATGACGTGAATAAAAAATCAAATTTTTCAGAAAAGCCGTCACTGCTGGAAATTCAAATTTAGATAAAAAATTTCCATCTTACCGTCATCAGTGAGAAGTAAATGATCTGCAAAAGCGGATTAACCATTTGTGAGAAAACCAAGTTTGCAATTCAGGCCCGTTTTTAATGGCATGTTAAATTTGAACGCCAACTGTACATCAAAATATGAATATTCAACTTAAACGGACTAATATTTTCAATATTTTTTTTTCGTGTTATGAATTGCAATAATAAAAACTCAAATGGAAAATTTTCAGTAATATTTAATGATGTACCATGAAGTGGTGACTTAAAAAAATACATGAAACCTGCAAAAATCGCACTGCCGCAACAACCGAGGCTTGCGCTTAACGCGATACTTAAAAGAAACAAGAATTGAATGGAATTGATATGTTGTATATCATTTAATTAAAGGAATTAACCAACCATGGAAGTAAGTCACTTTACAAATTCTTGATTGTACTACCAGTTACCATTCTCAGGCAAGTCACATATTGAATATTTAAAAAATGTTACACAATAGTCTATATAAAAGTAGTTAGCGAAAAACCTAAATTAATACAACTTAATTGACATAACATACATATTAACATGAAAATAAATGCCGTCCTGCAGCGTTAATACCAGAATTATTTACATTTAAATTGGAAAGGGGAAATACAAATATTTTGTTAAACAAAAATTCCCAACGGAAAAACAAATTGTTCAGCGTCGGACAACTGAAAAATAACAATAATAAATGGAATTTTCTACAAAGGGCTCTCGAGGCATTCGGGCATTCGGTAAGAATTAATAATTGTATGAAGTAACAAATTATAAAGAGGTAAATAATATAACCGTTAAAATTAATAAAGCAAATGAATATTTTTTGTTAAATTTGTAGTATCAGGTTTAATTTGAGTTAGATACCAAATTTTTATGTTAAAATTAAAAAAAAAATACCTTGATTGAGTAATACCGTTTCCTTGTTGATGATAATTAAAAATATCTAATTCAATTATTGAATAATATTTATGTTTTTAATAATAATTCAGGGAAATTAATATCAGCAGAAGATACTGAATTTAATTTTTTATATCAAAAGTGAGTAAATACATTATATAATAATTTTTTACTCGTAATCAATGGCAATATTCTATTCTGCAAAAATATTCTTATACTTCATTTAAATCGGCAAACTTAGTTCTAACCGTTAGAACAAATATAACTCAAATTATGGCACTACCTGCTACACAGCAGATTTTTGTAATTTTACTTTTAAAACTTGGATAAAAAATGAAAGCGTCATTATTCATGGTTCATAAAAAAACAACTTCTTGTATTATATATATAAATTTTTAACGAGGTACACTATACAAATGATTCCTAAGACTAATTTAATGAAAGCTTCTACTTATACTAACAAAATACAAAAAGTTGATATCTTAAGTTCGCATTTAATAGCACAATAATTGTGATTCTACTATAATTATACATGTAAAAATGTGAAATGAAATTAATACGGGGAAAGTAAGTAGTTCTAAATTATTACAATTTATGAACGCACTCGCATCAAAATAGGCCTCAATTTTAAGATTGATTTTCTCGCAAAAGACTGAATTATTTTTGACAGTATTTTTGAATAGTTTTATTTCTCAGTTATGACGTCAACATAAAATTTTTCATTGATATTTGTCAGTTCTGAGTATATATACAGGGTGTTTTCCTGAAATTAGAAAAAACGTAAGATGCACATCTACACTAATAAATAACTACTAAAATTAAGAGGGCTCTATAGCAAATAGGCAACCTGCAATACATTTTTGTAGATTTTATTAGTTTGTCTAAATATGAACTAATGCACAAATAACAGACTTTCCCCCATTTTAACGCAGATTTTCTATAAAATGGAGTTAGTTTGAAACTCAAATTACTTTTTGGTGCAAAGAAATTTGTAATTTACGATGTCGCTTGTTCAAAATTACAAATTTCTTTACAACAAAAGGTAATTTGAGTTTCAAACAAACTCCATTTTATAGAAAATCTGCGTTAGAATGGAGGAAAGTCTGTTATTTTGTGCATTAATTCATATTTAGACAAACTGTGTAATAAAATCTATAAAAATGTATTGCTGATTGCCTATTTGCTATAGGGCCCTCTTAAACTAGTCCCATCTTTTCTGAATAATTTTCTTTTTTCCATTCATGTTTTTATCTCTGTTATTAAGAGAGATACATGGTTAAAGTGCCTCAGTTTATTGTAAAACTTTTAACCATAAAAACACCGGTGGCAACAACCTCCCCCGATGGCACCAAAATACAGTTTAAAAAATATGAAACAATTTGTACTGAGAAAAAGTAAATTAATGTCTAGTTTGGTTAATTTCCTTATTTTGTTATAAATTTTGAGCAATTTTTTTACCTTTCTTTATTGTTAGTACTGGTTTTTAAATTTTTACAATAAATTGGTGCACTAAAAGCTGAAACTAAACCTTGAATCACATTAACACTCATCATTATTTTATTTGGCACACTTGAAATAAAACTAAAATTAAAAAAAAGATTGTCAAAATCAGATCAGCTGTGCGAGGAAATTAACTTCTGAATTCAAGTCACTTTTTAATGTTGTTGTTTTTAATTTTGAGGAACAGTGCACCTGATGTGATTTTCCAGAGATTTTTCAAATTTATTGACAAAAAATAAGAACATTTCAGTTGGACGATTGCATTTAATAATGAAGTAGTTAGACATTTTCCAAATGAAAAAACAATATGAAATATACATTTTTAAGAAACATATATTTATAAGAGCTAATGCCATATTTTAAACGAGTATTTGAAGTTCCAATAAATCACTTCTTTAATTACAGAAAGAAAGAATAATTCCTCAAAGTACCAAAATTAATACCTATAACTTTTTACATAAAAATCGTACCAGTAATTAAGGCATGCAGTTTTCATAATCTTTTCCCAGACTAATTTCATCTCACATTGAAGTACATGATACAAACCATGTTCCACTTTCTTTCCACGCCAGATATAAACTTTGAGTATTTTTCAGTAGCCCGACTAGCTTAAAACTTAGAATACACTTTTCATGATAATATATCACAGTTCACTAATAACTCTGAAAAAAATTGTTCAGGCAAATAGGTTCCAGGAAAGTTTAGAAAAGCACAGTATTATTCGTAACGATTAAACATTTCGTCTTCAAGTGTTCGATGTTTGAGAAGATATCCTCTGGCGCAAGGGCTTGACGTACACGTAGGAATCTTCAACAGTTTTAATGAATAACTGAAACAAAATAAGATTTTCAATATTTTAATACCACTTTCCTAATTACAGGAAACATTAATAGATAAAGGAGGTAGAGGAGTGTCGTTAGTGAACCAATCATTTCAAAGGAACCATATCAGAGTGGCATTCAAAGGAATCAATTTTTACGGTGTTGGGTGTGTGATTCACGATTCTGAGGACTCCTTTGGCGTGAACGACTTATGGGCAACGAGAACTAAGTAATTACAAAACAATGCTGATTTACCCATTGATATCGGTTTTGACACTGCATGGTTTTGAAAGCATTTGTTTATGAATTAGGAATTGTAGAAGTCGTATCATGCTGATTAATGGTGACTTAATTTCAACTTAATAAATCTATAAGCACATAATATCTCCATTACAGATTGATTATAAAATAAATAAAATTACTACTTTTGTACAAAGTAAATATGTATGTATATTAAATAACAGAAGTAATTAATTCAATTGAATCAACAATTTTCGTACCAATCCAAGAATAAAATAACCATATTTAGTGCATATTTATCAACTTTTGTAGCAGAAACCAAATTGTGAACTAATTCTGAGGAATTGGTATCGAGGATTTGAATCTCCAAAAGGAATGATTTAGCCCACCTTTAGCAGTATAAATGCAGTAATACAATTAAATTAATAATATAAGCACATAAAAATACATAAGAAAAAAAAACAAAGGGAAATATTAAAAGCAAAAGGCATATAATTGAATTAAAACTAAACATGACATTATGATAGCTTATTCAGAATAGCTGTAAGATATCCGTTATGTACATCTTATGAATCACAGTATTCGCGAATGCAGCTAAGAGCTCACCCTCTGGCGGTGACAAGTGATACTAGCGAAACAAGGTAAACATTTCTTCTGTGTGTGACATTTCGTTTAGTATTTTATTTAAAACTGTGTTTAGTGTTCATTTTTTGAACACTGTTATTTTAAGAAAATAGTGTGAGGAAAACCTCAGCAATTATGGATAAAAAGAAGAAACTGTCAAACTATTATTGTTCAGTTCGAGATTGCTCTTCATGGTCCAAGGTCCAAGAAAAATCAGAATTAAGTTTTCATCAAACGATTGAAGAAATTTTCAAAATATTATTGCCGATAGATAATACTCCCTGAATTTCATGAGGGTTGTTAGTAAGTAAAGGCACCAGTTTGCAGACACAATATAAATTTCTAAATTTAAATTAACTGCCCAATTTTCTCATGATCAGCGTTAAAAACTGCCTCTCCTTCTGATATACGAGAGTTTTCGTTGGCATATATGTAATTAAGAAATGTATTCCGCAATGGATAAGTTCATAGTTATAACCTAATAAAATGTACATTAAATTGTAATGCTAGGGACAAATAAAGTAGACATAAATACTTGCCTTAAAATTTATTTATGAAATATTTGAAACCTATAAAATAACACAAAAGTCAAATAACCGCAGTTTGATAACAAAATTACTAATAATAATGGAAAATAAGACAAATGTTGTTCAAATGAATGTGTAAACACGAACGGCAATGTCAAAATTACCTTGTCTCGGAGCTTATTGCTTTCGCCGCTTGGTGCCCTTGCACCTTAAAAATTATCGCGGATAGGTGTCATACATTTAATACATAATAGTACAGATTACAGTAAATAGAAAAGTTTTATACAACATAGGTTCTAAAATGCACCATTTTTGAGAAAAAACAGTTTTTATGGAACATTGAGATCTTTAAAATAAGAATACGTAGGCTGCTGGAACAGTTTCTGCAAACATATGTAAAAACACAAGTAAAGGAGAAGGATCCTTAAGGCCGGTTTTTGGTGTAATTTATTTTTGGCTGAAAAAATCAGAAAAAATTTTTTTTTTTAGTATCTACTAGCAATACTTAATCGTTTCCACCCTAAACGGACCAACCCCCTCATCCTCCTTTCCCCCTCCACCCCCTTAAATGCCGGGAAAACCATCGCTTATTAGAGGAATCTTTAAAAGAGTTTAGATATGCAGAAGACATTCAATTTCTATGAATCTTACATATGAAGAGTTTTTTGGGTCGCTGATCACGAATCTGGTCTCAGAATCACGAAATTCAAAATGGCGGATCCAATATGGCGGACAAGAAAATTAAAATGTCTTTAAAATGCATGAATTTTTTTTTGTAATGGGGTTTTTTGGGTCTTTGATTACGAATATGAAGGCAGAATTACGAAATTCAAAATGACGTATTCCATAAGGCGGACAAAAAAATTTAAAAAATCTTCATAATCCTCAAACATTTCTTTATAGAAACTTTCTTGGATCACTGATTACAATTATGAATTCAGAATCACGAAATTCAAAGTGGCTTTGATTTTTCTCATTCAAGGGGTGGAGGGGGGAAGGAGGGTGAGAGGGTTGGTCCGTTTAGGATGGAAACGATTCAGTATTGCTAGTAGGTACTATATAAAATGAATTTTTTCAGCAAAAAATAAATTAGGCCAAAAACCGCCAGTTGGTAAATGTAACATTTTTTTTTTAAACATCGTGTACCTTAGTTTTTTAAATACTCTGTATGTAAAAGTTTGCTGTTTCCAAAAAAAAACCCGACCTGCCTGCGATTCGAACCGCAGATCTTTGGCTTTGCAATCGCAGGTTTACAAAACGAGTTGCGACGGGCTATCGGTGGGTGGAGCCTGTGTGGGCTATTTGAAACCTTGCATCTGTAGATGTAAACAGATAATTTAAAATGTTCAGATTAAGTTTTATCGCTATAATATTGTCTCTAAAAGAAACTAGTGCCTGGAAAACGTCTCAAAAGACAAAATTTATTTTGATGTTTGTCTCAACCTCTGTCTAAACATCGAATGTATTATGGGTATCTCTCTCGCACCGAAAAAAGTGGATTTTCGACGAGTACTCTTGTTAAAGAGGAAATTTCTCTTAGAAGACACTAAGAAATCGCCTTCAGAATATGACATTGACATAACGATAACACAAAGAATCACGTTCCGTTACTAATTGAAAACACTTACTTTTGTCTGCCATTCTTGTCCGCTGTCTTTCCTTTCCTTCGCCTGGTCTCTTTGCCTTTGCTCTAGGGCTTGCTTGGCATTTGTAGCCTTATCAATCTCATTGAATTTCAGACCTGCCGTAACTTCCTTCCATAACCTGCGAGACTCGTTTTCGTCCTGTTCACAAATCGGTTTGACTTGTTTTTTAATTATAGTTAATGTATTTACATCTACTTGTTCCTCAGTCTCCTAAAAATGAAATTAATTAGAAAGTACAGCTTTTTCGCACTTGTCTAAGACAAAAATTACCTTTTCAGTCCATTTATATTCCATCACTCCGTTCCATTCTCCACTAACCGTAAGGAACGGTTTCTTCTCCTCTGGTCCACAAATCTCGGCGGTAATTTTATTTTTCTTATTGCCATAGAACGGTTTGGTAATAAATTCAATGGTGCAGTTGTATCCAGTCTTCGGGCAGGCTATTGTCACCGTCCCACCCAACTCTATCCAAGGTACAGTTAGTATAGAACGTCCATAACCATTGGGGAATGTAAGAAAGTATTCTTCATCGTAGTCCAGAACGGACACAATACCTTGCCCGATATTGTAAACACAGACAGACAGACCAAGGAATTTGGATTTGGTGTAGACGTGTGCATTGAAACTTATTCTTTTGTTGAAGTGTTCTGCATAGAATGCCGAAACTGTAACAAATTAAAAAAATATACATATGTAGTTTTCCATTAAAACTACCTCAATATAAAAATTATACTGTTATACACAGAGTGATTTATTTAAGTATGGTAAAAATAAAACGGGTAATTGTCCCAACTCGAATGTTCATTACTGCAAAATGAAATGAAAAATAAAAAATACATAAGAATGGGTTGCTCACGTATAGGTACCACTTGCTTAAGGGGTAACATGACTCTAAAATGCTAAAATAAAGTTTTTTTTGCGAATTTATTTTTAAATGGAAGGAAAAGTAATCAAGGATATTAAAAAAAAAATAGGATCAATCATTTGTCAATAAATAATGTTCAAATCAACTTAATGGAAATTCTATTCGTAAAAAATTTTGAAAAAAGTGCCTTTAAAGTTTTGATAATTCAAAGCTGTTTACAAATTATATTTTAAAATTATAGAGGGCAAGAATTTTATTCAAATCTTGGAGGTTATTATTTCACTTACTGGGTGGATGGTGTGAGACTTGTTCGGCAACAAAGGATAGCTGATTCCTTCTGCACCAAGGCACAGGTCCGTCTTGTACGGCATCTTCAATTGCATTAGTCTCTTCAAGGGGGACATCCCAATGGCACCGAAACACTTCCCCTAGGATGGGATTGTAGGGCTTCTTGGCAACAGTACTTTTTCTACCGGCATGGTATGATGATAGGTACCACTTGACCACCTGTACCATCCTATCCTTAGGGTCCTTTATATCTGCTATTCTGAATAGATAAAAATTCTCTGAATGTAGATAAAGAATAACACATGCGTATAGTGGTTTGGTTATATCGACTTCACTTTTAATGATTACCTAGCACATTGCATATAATATGTTTATTAGACATGCAACAATGTGTTACTGGCCAAATATAATAAAAGATTAGTAATTGTTGATTTTGTAATTTATTTATTACATTATATTCAACAAGCCATATTCCAATAACAATATGCAACATAGAACTAATACAAAAAAATTATACAACATAAAATAAGAATAAAACAGAAAAGAAACTGAAATTGATTGTATTTATTAATGTCAGAGATAATGGCATACCAAAAACAAATTGTTCAGAAAAGACGACACTACAGATCAATTTGTTTATATTTTGCAGAAAAAAATTCTCTCTTGCACTCTGTATATGCTGAAAACTGAAATTTCACTCAGAATATCTAACTTAGTGTTGTTACTGAGGAATAAACCTATTATTGAAAAAAAAACATCGTCAAAACCAGAACTGTAAGAAAAATAATTTTGAAATTGGGGTCCATTTTTAGTGGCGTATTCATTTTGGTGCGAAGTGTATATAGTATACTGTATAGATACGTACCCTACAAACATATCCGGATGGGCAAAATAATCTGCATACATTTCTAATAGGGACCTCCTCTCCAATATGAAGGTAGGTAGAACCACTTTTGTAAGATCCATGCCAATCTTCACCTGAGACAACAAATGTCTGATAACAGAACCATGGCTTTCTAATTCTATATCATCCTCATCATTATCTTCATATAATGCTATAAAAATGAAATTTTAAAAACTACTAAATTGTTAACACTGAGAATTTATTGTAGGTATGTTAAGTTTGTACAAACACATTTTCGCTGATCAGTGATCACAAAAAAGGTGTAAACACTATTCGAGTAATTTTTCAGGAAAGCAATAGAAAGAAGTGATCACTGTGACGCCTTTCTTGTGTGTGTATGCTGAATATCACCATACTAATTTGCATTAATGTGGGTAAATTTGTATGCTTTCGTAATCCTAAGAGCTTAATTCTAAAAGACTAGTGGAATCCCTTTTTGTTGCTTATACCATTTGTGAGATCAGCAATGATATTTATTACTGCTCTATTATGCTAAAAGGTTGCCATCTAAAACAACTCAAGTTACAATATGACATATTTGGCTTAATACTATTCACAATGATATGCTGATTTGAATAAAATGATTTTTAGTTTTTGTTTATAGTAGTTTTGGATTTTTTGTAGAAGAATAGTAATCTTATTGGTTCTTTATAGATATAATAAGAAGTTAAAATATTGAAATAAAATTAAAAATTTATAATGGGCTGTTATTCACTATTGATTAATGCAGCTCAATCAATACGGAAATGGTAATAATTTGGTGGATTTAATTAAATATTTTCTCATATGGCTGTTAGGGGGATTCTACGTTTCCTTATGACTTTGTTGTGGGTGGTTATAATATATCAATTAGTCCAGTTACGATTTGAAGAAGGAAATAAATCCAATACCTCCATACAATTCAGTATTTAATATAGGATATATAGAAAGAACATTTTATTAGTAACATACAGCAATTAAAAAAAAATACTATTTATTTTGTTTTGTTTACACAATTTTTTTATGTGCTTACATATGAAGAATTTCACTTCTTAGGAAAATGTATTGTTGTCTACTAACTTATTTTACATTTCTATGTACCTACCTGTTTACATTGATGGAAAAAAAATGAGTTACTACCTTTTTACCATGTCTCTTATTCTTATAATTTTTTTTAAAGCTTCCATAAATATGAATGAGAAAGCAATTAGACCACCTATAAACTGTTTTTTTCCAATCATATTTCTATAACACTTTTTTAGAAAGATCTGGGAGTTGAATCCTTACATTTTCAATATTGGTAGAATGACGGTGACGATAAATACACATTGAATGATATTATATACAAAATAAATCTCCTAATGCACCTTGACCCTTCCTCCCACAATTCATAAAATGTCGTATATGGTTAACATATTTAAGGTAATAACATGCATTTTTTTACTTAAATCGGGTTTTCAGGAGATTGACAAATTGGTTTGGAAAATATTTTCTTCCTATTACAGTAACTCACAGGCATGTAATATCGCATACATTCGTAAATATTTTTTTTAACTGATGATACTGGATATGACATAGATTATAAATAGGGACAGTAGTAAAACAGATAATAAGAGCCAGGAAGTAACAAGAGATATATTCTGAAGTAATGACATTGAAGGCAACTCAAAATAACAAGTCAGTACTTTCAGCTGAAAAAAAAAAAAAAAAAAAAAAAAAATGAAACCGAATCATATGATAAAAAAAACAGCATCTACTTTATTAAAAAATGTAGTAGCTAGGAATTGTGAAAGAAATTGGTATTGAAAGTTATGTGAAGATAACTCTATGGCTCAGTGTCTACTTTGGTGGACGAGGAGTGTGTTGGACTCACATCTGAGCTACTACTCTCTCTTATCTTATTAATAACAACAGCGTTTTAATGACTTACCATCATAATCTATATCTTCTGCATTGGTTGATCTGGGACCCTGCCTGACGGACGGCTGTCTGGCATTGTTTGCTACGATTGGTGCTGATTTACTGGCTACAGGAACGGCTGAAGCGGCATCATTTTCAAAGGATCTTAGGCTACTGCGAAGAGAAAAATACTGATAAAAGATGTGCGATTTGCCAAATAAATCTGGGACGGAAAATTTAAGATTGATTTTGGTTTAGTATAGCAATTGAAAACTTTGATATGGGCTTAGTTCTCAAGATAGAGAGTATACAGATTTTTGTACAATTTATGTTATAAAATCTCTAAATCTATATATTGATTAAATTTGGGTTACAGATTTAGCTAAGCTGAGATAAAAATTAATTTGTACGAATATTTGGTGGATTTGATTGTTCATTGCATTTTTGTTTTTCATTTTGTACAAAAAGAGCAATTTTTTAGTTATTTTTTTAAATCTAAAATAAACTCTCCTTACATTTCAATAAGTAACCCTGGTGCAAGAAGAGCATAAGTCCATGATTTTGACAATTTAAATTTCTGCAGAAATTGGCTTAAAAATGTACTCTTCGTTCAAGTTCAATTGATTTGCAATTGTATATCACAAAAAAAATATCTCCTCGATTTTCGAGTTATTTTTTTTAGTTTAAAATAAGCTTACTATACAGTATGTCTACGGTTAGAGTGGAAAAGAGGGAAAATATTTTTATTTTTCATTTTACGAGAAGAAGGCATTCCTGATTAAAATTTTTGCTTGTCTTTAAAATGCGGTTGGCATGGAGAATTTTCATCTTGCAAGTTTATTTTAGACCAAAATAAAAAAATAGAAACTGGAAAATGATTTGTTTTCCAAATAAAATATAACACTATTGTTATTTAAAATATTATTAGAAATTAAATAAGCTTATCTAATTTTTATTGTAACATCGAAATTTTGACGTTCTTAATCCCAGTATCTGCGCCACCGGTTAATATAATTGTGTGCAAATTCGGTGAATTTTTACCTTTATTTGATCTTTGTGCATATGTTTTGACCCAATTATTATATTTTGTAATTAGGTTCTTTCATTTACACCCTGTATATGCATGTCATTTATAAACAGCTCTAAAATGTTTTTTCAATCAACAAGTATTTTATTTTTTTATACCCCAATCTGAAAATTTTCCAATCGTAAAACAATTATTGGATGAAAAACCGACGACTAATTATCGAAAAAGATGACTTCAAAGTTTTCGAAGCCTAACAAATAACTCATGTGGAAAATTAGGAAAGAATCTGGTTATTCTCGTTTCGCACTTCGAATACTTTAATGTTATTGCAAATGAAATTCGGGTTAATTGCCATTTAAAAAAACATAAATATGATCGAATCTGCCACGGTCTTTACTTTAATTACCGTGGGATAGGTCGTATAAAAGTTTCTATTTCTAGAAGGATTTTTGCGAATCAAAAAATATTTTTACTTTACAACAAATAATAGACGATCTCTCAAAAGAATTTTTACTATTTCTGCTCCAACCGAATCCATGTTGTGAGTAATATTATGAACTGAACAGCACTGGAAAGAAAAACGCTGAACGAGTCGATTCATTTTTGTTATATTTATTTTTGAGTAAATCCAATCTTCAGTGTTATGATTATGTCAGAAATTTGAGTAAAAGCACGATCGTGCTTGCACAAGCACAATTGCGACATTAGGAAAATATACATATTAGGTTACTCTTTTCAAGGAAAACTATCCTTGTGGCCTCTTCACGAATAGCAAATATGTCACCTCTACACTGAATACAAAAAAATCGTTGTTAAAATATCAATTAGTTTTTTAAGAATAAGTAATTTGATTTATTTACCGCGTTATTTTTTTAATGGAGGAATTAATTATTTGTACTTTTGCGACGTACCTACATATTAGAAGAACACCTTGAGGTTGATATGAATCTAGCTGCAAATTTAAATGATGATTAATTTTCTTTATACAAGGATATTTTTTAGGCAAAACTTTTGTATTTATTAATTAATGTTTCTAATATATGGTATATGTCTATTGTCTAAAAATATTTTTCCAGTCGATTAGTTATACATACAAATAAAAATTAATCTTTATTTATATCATACTGGTTTTAGGGATCTGTTCTGAAGCTTATTCAATGAAATTATAAATAAATATAACACATTCCACCATATGGAAGAAACTTTTCCTGCGCAAAGCCCGATACAGATAAAATTCCGTGTCTAATTTGCACCCACATTATTTAATCATAGCTCATTCATCATCGCCTACTTCAGCTTCCCATTCCTGTACGTTTTTTTTACCTGCGACGCCTGAAATTCAGCCTGCTGTTGAGAAGCCGCATCATTTTCGCCTTGAAACTCGACGTCGCGTCGGACGACACACTCGATAGAAAAACAAACGGACAACGACACGAATCACAAATCTAATCACAGACGTTCGCCATTATACAAAACAATTTGGTCGGCTGAGATCGAATTTTTTAACGTGTTCGCGAAATGGTCTACATAAAAAAATAGTCACTTTGTTTACGCAGTGGTGTGGCTGTATATTGCGGAAATTTGGTGTTTCGGTTTCAGTGTATGCGTGTGTTTAAGTGTGTCTGGAGTTATCCAGGCCCGCTAAGGCATTTGGGGTTATGGACGCCGCCGATGTAGCGGCGCCGCGACGGAACGAGTGTGCGTCGCATACGGGCCGGGAATCAGGAAACCGTTACGTCGGCGGGTTGGAGAGCCGCAGCGCCGCCGGTGGAGTAAAGATCGCTTTCCCTAAAATGAGATACTATTTGACTAGCCTTTTTCCTGTTTACTTTGGGCATTTTGCCACTTGCAAAAAAATTAAAATTGGTCGAATTAACCCTTGTGCTGACGGGACTAGATAAAAGTTCGTATGATTTTTATTAAAAAACAAATTAAAAATCAGTTGTAACCTTGATTTGTAGTTCAAGACTGATAAAAGTCTGCAACCATTTTAATGCGCCTTTATGTATTGTTTTTATTGGCCCAGAGTTAGTTTCTTTTTTTAACCAACATTTCCGAGAATTTTTTTTGTATGGATGTCATATTGAATTTTATTTAATAAGATATTTGAATAAAAGTTGAAGATAATCTTCAATTGCCCTGCAAATAATGGAGTTACGGCTATTTTTAACGATTTTTTTCTGAATAAAATTCAATTTAATTGAATTACTCTTGATGGTACCTTGTTTTCTCAATGACAAATAACCAACAAAAACAATCGTATAATAGTAAAGTTAAAATAACATTTAAAAAACCGTGGTTATTTCAACTTAACGGTGAAAAACATAATGTCGATTGATTCCGTGAACTTTGAATTGCTGCTTGCAAATAAAATTGAATTAAAGATGAAGTAAACATCATTGAAATTAAAGTAGATTTAAATTACCTAGTTCTGAAAATAGAGATTAATTTTCGACACATGCTCTATCTTAAATTGAAGGAATATAAAGTAGGATCATATTCGATGCAAAGTAATAAATCATTGCCTGTCAAGGGATCCAGTGCAGTACGGTTTTAAGGGGTTTAGAAATTGAATAATTTCTTTATGCATTATGAAGGGATGAAGGGAGCAGTTCACGTCTGGCACCCTATTCCTACAAAAATCTCTTCGTTCTCATAAACTATTTATTTTAAATGTAATTTATTATAAATCCAATTTGTCTTTAAAATTTCACATATGTACTAAATTTCACCTCTGCACGCAACACTGTTGTTTACTTGTTTTTTGGAGGGGGTCTCTGATTTGTCGCCAGGTTAGTATTTGACGTATAACAGACCACTTCGTACACTCGATGTACCTGGGCGACTATAGCTATTACCAGAACACAATGCGTATGAAGCGGTATTTCAGATTTTACATTCAATTTTATTTTAAATTTGAAATGGTTCATCTTACGCTTCTTAAAAATAATGACACGATTTTCCTTAGATAAAATAAAAGACCGACAATTTTTTGCTCCACTTTGCATCGAATACGATCCTACTTATAGTGATATTGTCTGCTTCCTTCGCTGTGACATTTTTTGTTTGGGAAAAAGTAATTCCATGAAAACAACGTGACAGATAATTTTGGTGCAAGGGTTAGTTTCATTAATTTATTCACAGATGGTAAAAATTCCAATGATCAAAAATCAGCAAAATCTGAAATTATGTCATAAACATATGTAATATTCATGTTGTGATTTGTGTAATTTCGTCATGAGTATAAAATTCTTCTTTTTTATCTTAAATAATCCACATAGCCAAGGAAATCTATACCGACGACGAGGATTACGGGATGTACCATTTACCCTACTCAATCTAACAGTAACATAAGTGATCTCAAGAAGATTTATACCTTTCTTCGTATATATACTACTAAAATTATAATTATACTAAATTAGTAAGATAGAAGTGTGACTATGTACATACATTTTGTTTGTATAGCTAGGGAAAAATAACTAGGTACATCGTACTAGGAGATTATTTTTTTATTTGTCTGCATCCAGAACCACCATGAGTTAGATCTGTACACCAAATGCTAGCATAGCTCGAAAATCTAATTTTATCTTCATTTTAAAATGAGAAACAAAACAATATGCATAATAACTGTAAAAACAATATATAAATGTTAAAATTTTACGCGTAGGATAGGAAATCTAAGTTTTATGGTGATTCGTTGAATTTCTGTGCTTGTGTGTGATTAACTATACAACAATTTTTTTAAAGGCTAATATAAGTTGCTGCGATCATTTTGTCACATGTGTAATTGCAAATACTTTACAGTTAAAAAATACTGTTTGAGTATCAAAATTGTAAAATATAAAAACGAATATTAATTATTTTATTTCACATATTTATATCAATTATGGTACAATGTATGATACTGGCTGATACAATTTGGGCAAATGATTTCCAAGAGGAGTTTTGGAGAAAGTGTGCTTATTTTTTATAAATGTAATTTTTCAAAAACATTACGAATTGCAGAAATATAAAAAAGATTCGGAAGAAATATTTTTTCGTTCTTTTATTAGTTTAGTATAAATATTTGTTAAATGCTAATTATTAAAGAGGGATGTCATTCACTACGTCGCACTATTACTGAGTCAGCCAGAACCCCTTTCGGAATGGGCGAGCAGTCGAGGTCAGCCTATGGAGCGCGGTCCGCGGGGTCAACGAGCACAGGAGTCAGCAGAGTCCCGACATAGCAAATAAACAAGACAATTCTGTCGTTTGAGAGAATAAACCGATCGTTGAAATTATGTGTTTTAATTGGGGGTGAAAACCCCCGGGTCTTTAACATATAAATAAACAAAAAACTGAAAAGAGTACGATTTAGGTGCCATAGTTGACGGAGATGATCAGCAAGACTTTTAGCAGTAGGAGGCATTCTAATTTAAATGGTGACGACAGTTCCAGGCTGTAAATTTAATAAAACTTTTCCAGATTTGATCAGAACAAATTCTTTACTAAAATATTACTTAATAGCCGCAGCATCTATTACTCTCAGTTTAACCCTCCCTTGAAAAAAATTCCTGTCAGTCGTAATTTTGTCAAAGGAGGTCTAAATTTGGATCTNGTCAATATATATTAAAATCTGATAGCTCCGTCTGCGTCGCACTTTCGCCCCGAAAAAGAGCCGATTTGCAGTGGAGTCAGCTCCTCCGAGGTGTCGCGTAGCGACACCCGGGGGGGCCCGCAGGGCCCCCCCACGTTCGCCACGTCGCTTAGGGGTACTCCGGTGGAGCTCCTTCCGCCCCAAACTACCTAAAATCCGGTTCTCCCGGAACCGTACGGGGGGCGTGGCCCAATTTTTGTGTGAACCGCAATAGTCCGACACGCCTACTTTCCGATGAAACCTGACGATCGCCTGGCCGGTTTCCTGTATTTCGTTTTTATTTTACCCATATTACCCACGTTATTTATTTAAAGCCGCGCGGAAAATACTCATATTTGTCGACCCGATGCCTTTTCCAAACCTTTTATATAGAACTTTCCGCGAAATCACGCGCGGGATTCGAAATGCGGCCGTAAATACGTTAAAATGCGCCCGCTCGCCCGCTGGAAAACGTACACTTTGCCACACAGGATTCTTTTTCCGCAAACCGCAGAACGGCGTGCGACTGAGCACGAGATGTTCATTCGATCATCTTTAATCGTTCGGGGGCATTTTTGTAACGTTCTTTTCGCTTTTTCATATTTAATTTTGCCTTCTTTTTGGGGTCTGCTCGACGACAGACAAGCCGTAAAAATTGAAGCTTTAAGACACGCCCACCCGGAGAAAATTCGAATGTCTTTAGAAACGTCAGTTTGATATACGTCAAAATAAATTTCATAATGATCTATCTCTACTGTTTTGATCACTCACAATCGTCCCAATTGTCCCCATTCCCCATCTGTCAATCCTGTCCTTTCATTTATTAAGTCGAATAAACCTGTACATTGAGAAAAGCAACATTTCCAAGTTTGCGTCGAATCGTCCCCATTCCCCATCTGTCAATCCTGTCCTGTCATCTGGCAAGTCGAATAAACCATTACATTGAGAAAACCAATATGTCCAAGTTTGGTTTGCCGATTTGCCTAATATACTGAAGTTAACGCGTGCCGGTTTACATTGTTTGTAATAATGTCGGTGAGCTTTTTGTATATTTTCTTTTTCTAAATTTAATATAACTTTAATTTAATCAGGAGTTTCAATGTGGTTACGTCATGATCCACGTTTTCTGGCCTGGGTCTTTCAGCAGATTAAAAAGGTAAATAGGTACATTCTTTTAACCTGAGGCATCGACAGAAACAATAAGTTTAAATTTTCCACTGACAACTATAATTTACACAACCACGACTATTAAGCCAAGAATTTTGAATTTCCGCCCTGTTGCAGCAGGTATACAAGATCTCAGGACTTTCTTAAACGTTACGATCTTGCCAGGAATTTTTGGACAACTGGACTGCCTCTGATCTTTGATTACTGATAAAAAGATAATAGGTGCAATGAAAAAAACTTATGGGAAAATGTTACATTAACACAAAGTTCTATTCTCAAAGATTTTGTTCGCATTCTCCTTAGGGCACAATTTTTTAGTAACTGAATGTGTAAGTAAATCTTTTTATTTAATGCTTTCATTTTTCCAATAAAGATTATATTTCACCAATTAATTTTTTTATTTACATTTACACAGAGAACATTTTTTTTATGTAGTATTTTCAGTAACATTTTAGAAATCCAAACATTTCTGAACGTTAAATATTTTATATATTTAACACCAAGTAAAAAACTCATGGGACTACATAAAAATCAACAGGTACATGTCCCAAGTCTCTTGGAATTTACAAAACAGGTAGGTACTGACATTCAAAATAACTATGTATGGATTTCATATTCTTCCATGAAAAATGTTTGTCATTGAGTAGGGTATACAAAACTTTATTAAATTAATACCTAAGTATATGGATTTTACAAGTCTGTGGCAAAGATATCTATATTTATTATTGCCAATTTTATTTAATATTTCAATAGGTATGTACCTATATTTTTAAATATAAGAATTTCTTCTACTCATACTAATTTAAAACAATATTTTGTAATTAAAACGTCTCATACATTTTTTTTACACTTCGACTAAATGTTCGAATTCTTTATATAATTTTTCATATTTATTAGAATCATTTCAAGATATTTTTCTTCGACTAAAAAAATTTAAATATGTGGAGAATAATTCTAACATTGTAAAAAAACTAACAATTTTCTGAAAATGCCTTCGTTGTCAACTGCTTTGTGATATATATTTAAAGAATTACGTACTTTACAAGCAGTTAATTTTAAAGAGAGTTTATTATATAAACATACAGAATATGCCTATTTAACTTACATAATACATTTAATTTTAATTTATATTGTTTTCGAGGTCGTTTCTCTGTCCAAATTTTATATACTAGAATACTTTCCCCGAGAAAAATACACTAAAATGTCTCCGAATTTTTCATTCTTTTTACGCTCACCCCATAAAAACAGATAACTCGGCAAGCTATTTCTTTCTTAATAAACCCAACCATACAACATATTTTGATTCGTGCCTCAGAATTCGAGAAAATGTCTTGAAATATCTGCAATATGTACACCAAAATGCCTTGGCGAAACACCCCTCGGTTATTTTTAAACGCCCTCTAAAATCGTAACTTTTTAAATTTGGAAGGAAAATTACAAAACAGACCCCATATATATACTCTTGAATAATTATTTCATTTATTGTAATTTACCATTGTTACACATAATCATCATACATTATTTCTCTCCATCTGTTTTTACAGTCTACTGTCAAAAATCGATATCAAGTGTATTCCTGAAATATTTTTTTTAAAATGATTTTTAACTTCATTGTATAAATATATATTTTTTTTATTTTTCTTTTAAAAACATTAATCTGCATAAACGTTTTTTTTACAGTATTTTTTTTCCAAATTTAATGTTTAAATTGACTGTATAGTCCTGCCATCTATACGCTATGTGTCTAATTATCTAACAAAATGCCAAGCCAATCAACGAATTACGTATTTATAGTAATATAACCTCCAGATCAAGTGGTCGATTTATCCATTATCGATCAATAATTGAATAACCCACGCTAATTTTTGTGCGTCTTATTCTATAATTGCAAGCATAGAACTACTTACAGATTTTTATTCTAATCCGTTTTTTTGAAAACGCTTATTTTTCTGTAAATACTGTTTAGTAGGTAAGTACCACTCCTTATCAGTATAATTTTATATAATTCACATATCATTATTACTATATTAGATCACTATGACCAAAAAGGGGAAAAAACGAATGACCCAACGGAAGGGGGTCAGTATAAGTGGCCTGCGAACAAAGAGATCTGTCCCCGAGGAGATGACTGAAGATACGAATAGCAATATTTCTATAGAATTGCCTCCTTCTGTCACTGTTTCTTCTGCGGAAGCAGCAATAATGCTTTCCGGAGATATGCCTCAACTGGTTGAAGTACAGCATACAGTTCAACCAGTCGCTGCCGTACAGGAAGACTTCTTATTAAATAGAGTGCCAGTTGGTCCTTCTACAAAGGACTTAGCAGAAGCTGGGCCTTCCACTTTACTAGGTAATTATCACAATTTCATTTTTGAACTTATCTAATATTTCTTTTGCTGCACCTTCTACTTTCTTAGATAATTATTACAAGTCTATTTTTGAATTTATTTAATTTTATTTTTCATATAGGTATATGGTTATATGTTAGTATATCATAAAATACCATATTATCTACTTTCTATAATAAGTACACAAAATATTATTTTTTTAAAGAAATGCTTATTACTATTTCAGAACAGTTCAATTGATTTCCAAATTTTTCCCAACACAGATATTTACTTTCACAACTTCATAAAGAATAACCGATTTTTATTCACCACTATAATTAGCTCCAAAATATAAAAATACCTATATATTTTCAGTTTCACTGTTTGCCTTTTACTTTGAAATCAATACTAAAATTGGCCGCTCGGTATAATATAAAGCATTATACATTGAAAATATATATATATATATATTAAAATATATTTATTTTCTTGGGAAATTGGGTTCTGGTGTGATAGTCGGTTAAAAAAAGAATAAAAAACAGCAGCGATTTCTTGATGTTTCGTTCGTGAGTAGGATCTTTTTCAAAAGGCTTTTATTATTAAAATTGTTATAATTAATTAATAAATTAAAACCTAAACAACAAACATTTTATGTCAAAATTTTAAAATTATGTCATACAGTGGACATATTTTCACAATATAATATCTTTTTTCATTTTAAATTTGAAAAAGGCCTACATTTTTTAATATTGTAAATGTGTTTGGATAATACTTTTAGTCGGCAATGTGGTACGTGGATACGATGAAAATGAAAATGAATCCAGGGATTTTTTTATTTACATGAAAATTTATGTGAGGGTAATTGACATCCCAAACTATAATTTTGCAAATGTAAAATTGTTTTTTGGAAATTACTTGAAAGTTAGTTTTTTTTCCATTTAAATTTACAGTATTTGCCTTTTTAGTATTCCATAGACCTTTTTCAAATCCATGAAATTTTACGTGAGGGTAATCTACTTCCCTTATTCAAAATTCTTTTGGTAGAAATTGTCTAAAAGTTAGAAATTTTTCTATATATATAAATTAATTTTTTTTTGCTTGACATGGATTTTTCATATGATTTTTTGAAGATGTATGAAGTTTTATGTGAAGGTAGTTTACATCCCATTTTATAATCTTACCAATAGAAAATAGTTGGTGGGCTACCAGTAACGCCTCGGTCGCTAGGGATCAAACGGCAAATTTTATAGAAACCTGTTTAGGTGGGTAAGTGTAGGTTGATTATGGTTACATTTTAAAAATGTTTTGAAATATAAAGGGTGTCCAGGAAAAGCGTACCATATCAAAGTTATGTATTTTTAAATGGAACACCCTGTATATTACTGCATTTTTGAAAGCACCATAAAAACATAGGTGAACTTTATTAAAAGTCCTGCATACCTAAGACTTAATGTTTCTGAGATATTTCAATTTTAGTGACAATGTAGGCTTTCTGTAGAATATCCTCATGTAACTATGCTGAGGTGTGGATACCTAGGTAGCCACTGACATGGACCATTCTTACTTTTCCATTTATTACTAAATTTTCGATTTAAATAATTTCTCACTGAATAAGAAAAATTTTAAGGTGCGCCATTTAATTACATTTTCATTTTTCTCCTTATATTTAAAAAGAGGTCAAGAAGAACCCAAACCAATTCAATAAAGACCTTGATGAAGATATATGGATACATTTTACAAAAATTTTCGATAAAAAAAACGACACAAATGTCTTCAATACCGTTAGAGATAGGTATATGGAACCTATACACAGTTTGAAAGAGTTTTAAAATTCATAACTTCCAAATGAAAATATACTGGGTATCCCATTTAAAATGACCAAGTTAATGCTGTTAATAGTTGAAAGAAATATTAAGCAATTTTTTGAACATCCTGTACAATACTAAGTGATGACAAAATATAATAATTTATAACTTCAAGAATCTTAAATACACTCTCCAAAGATGCTTCCTTAAAATTATTTTTTTATTGCTAATATTAAATTCTGCACAAAGCCTACATTTTCACTAAAATTGAAATATCTCACAAACAATAAGTCTTAGGTACGCAGGACTTTTAATAAAGTTCACCTATGTTTTTATGGTGCTTTCAAAAATGCAGTAATATACAGGGTGTTCCATTTAAAAATACATAACTTTGATTTGGTATGCTTTTCCTGGACACCCTTTATATTTCAAAATATTTTTAAAATCCCCCTTTCAAGTTAATTTTTTTTAACATTCCCTCAGTGATTTTTATGTAACAAACTGTGGTTTACTTAATTCTTTCTTAATTTCATATTTTCAACGATATGCTCTTACAGTTTTTTTACTTTTAATAAAATATTTGCTGTCTCAACAGCAATAATTCACTTTCTTTTCCATTCATCCAATCATTTCATACAAACTGTATAAATATTATGTATATTCAATTAATTAAAAATTCTTATCTATAGTTCAATACGTTCATGATAAATACATATTTCAATTTTTCATTTCTTAAAAAAGTATACATTCTCAATACTTTTATTTATTTTTTCTTTCTAAAGACAACTTTATCCATTATTTTGAATATTTCAATGACATATTCGTAGTGACCTGGAAAACCAGGAATACCGGGAAAAGTCAGGGAATTTATTATTCTTCATAAAAAAACATGGAATAGTCGGAGCATTTTAATATCAATTTAAATATAGAAAAATTTCTAACTTTTAGACAATTTGGGAAAGTAGATTACCCTTACATAAAATTTCATGGATTTGCAAAAGTTCTATGGAATACTAATGGAACAAATACTGTAAATTTAAATGGAAAAAAATATAACAGACAATTTCCAAAAAACGATTTTCCATTTGTAAAATTATAGTTTGGAATGTAAACTACCTCATTAATTAATATAATATAAAATTTGATGTACTTTCATGAAATCTTTGGGAATTGTAATAAATAAAAAGCTGTA